CAAGCCTCCGCAATTGCTGCCAAACTGACAAATTTTTCAGTCCGCTGATTCTGCCAGACCAAATGATTGATGACTTTTCAATATGGCAACCGCATCAGCCACAAATGTAAATATTTCCCCTTGGGGGACGTCCCCTTATCGTGTTCCGAAGACTGGTCCTGATGGCAGCAACTTGAGCACTCCATCGTGGATTACATGCGTTTTATTTATGATTTTCTTCGCTGGTACTACAGAATGTTTTCCTTTTGGCTTATTTTTATTGTCATTTGTTGTTGATTTTTGGATCAGGGAGCGAGATTTCACTCTCCCCCTCTTTTTGGGGTGGGATTTCGGCTTCGATTTTGTTGCCTTTACTTTTTTCTCCTTCCGCTTGACGTTTTTCGTTCCAACTTTCCGTTGGGACAACTTTTCTATGCGCAACTTTAGCTGTTACTGCTGCTGCTGCCGAGTGGCAACATTTAATTGCTCAGAAAAATATTCTCCGAAAAAAAACGATGGATACGAATTACACAATAAAAATGTTGTCAATTGTTGTATTTTATGATGTTGCTTAAAAGTTCTGGCCAGAGAGCGTCCGGGGTAGTGGGGAGGTTAGAGCTCGGACCCAACACTTGAACAATTTGCTGTATTTTCCATTTTGTTGTCAGCTGAAGTTTAGTTGAAAACTTTTTATACTTTCGAGGGAGGAGGCAGAGAGATCTGTGAAGAAGAGGGAAGCAGAGTGTTCTGATCAGATGAGATTTACTCGTACTACGCATAAACCGCTCAAAATTAAGGCATTCATGCGGAATGCAGGTCACTGATGAAAGCACTGATCCGTGTGTGTGTGTTCTATGCTTTCTATGCATTCTTTTTGTGTACTTTTTTTTCGAAGGCACCATTCCAGGCAGTGTAACACTGGCAAACGGCTCGTTTGGGCAGTCCAAACAAAATGTATACATTTATGCGGAAAACTAAAGCAAAGTATAATCTATTCATAAGAGCCTCGAGAACATGATACCCAGGACATTGCCATACATAATTATTTCTGTTTAGAGAAAATAATGCTATAATTACTGCGGCAACATGTTTTCCACACTCTGCCTGTAGCTCTTGCTGTCTTCGAGACACACAAATACGGCATACCCTCCAGGTACCAAGTATAATGAACATTAAATGAAATGGAATTCTTTGTGTAGCAAACAAAAAAATTACCATTTGACCGAACGCTCCCGCATGTGTGTCAGGAAATTTGCAGAAAAAACATCTTATGGTCGTCCACATAAAAACAGAGAGCCGCTTAAATCGTATTAAAGCTCTCTCCATTTTCCATTCTCCATTTTCTGCCGCCCGCTTGTTTTGATTCTCATTTGTTGTCGTTGTCTGTTTTCGCGGCCGGCGATTGCTTCGCGGATTGCTCCTACACTGATGTTTGTTGTTTGCTCGCTGCACTTAATGTAATTAATTTTAATTAAAATCCAACGGGAGCATGAACAAAAAAATTTGCCACAGTCATGAGCACAAAAGTCTCTCCTCTCTATGGGTGTCTGTCTGTCTGTCGAATGGTGAACTTGCTACTGCCTCTCGCTTTTCCCCTGCATCTTTCTTTGCCTCCTTATCCTTTGGTGGCATATCTTTTCTGGCCTGCAACGGAGTCGCGGGATAAAAATATAATGCTTTTCAGCGTGTGCCTGCCAGTCGGTGGGTTTAAACGCAAATAGAAACAGACACAGCTGGGTGATGCTGTGTGTGTGGGGAGTGTGGTCCTGCATGTGTGAATGTGCTAGTGTGTGAGTGTATTTGGTTAGCTGCTGGCCCGTAAACTCCCGTTACAACTACGATGAAGCGTTTGGCAAACATTTTAAAGTTGCCATTTAAATTATGTAGCACTTCGCTCTCTCGGATGGCTGGATGGCAGCAGGCCAAACAAAAGCAAATGTATGCAAATAGTTGAACAAATATGATTGCGGATTATGAAACACTGAAAATATGAGCAATAATTGTTGAAAATAATATTTCAACAAGAGAAACTGAATTGTTTGAATCGCCACATAAAGCTAAATAAATGAAATATCATTGATTCAAATATAATTAAAAGTAAATCAATACTAGTTTTACACACATATGGACGTACATTCAAGAAATTAAAATTCCAAATTAGTTCTTCAAGAACAGAAACTTGAGCGATATTCCTAGACCTGATTAGCCACTGTGTTAAAAAAATTATCAATTTTGTTTGTGAATACTTTTTTTTAGGCTGTCCCAATTTTGTAATTGCAAATGGCTTCAAAACTAATAATCAAGTGATAATAATAGTAAACTAAATATAAAACAAGAAGGGACGTGTGAGACGCTTCTTACGCGTCACAACTTTAATACTTGGTACTCAGTAGTACCAGTTCTAGTTTCATTTTACATTTTACAGCAGATTTTTGACCTAACTCTTGAAGCAAGGATCTTAAATTATTTGTTCACAAAAATATTGAAACGGATTTTCTACATTAAATGATTTTAATGGTGTAGACTAGCGGGGGTTTACAAAATTATCACTAGATGTCAATACACAAAACCCCTTTAAGGAAAAAAATCAACGGAATGGCAATACTTTTCCATTGCATTATACTCCTCGGGGCAAAAGCGCAACAAATTCTTTTAACTTTTATACAATTTACGGCAAGAAAAACTGATTACAATGACCATAAAGAAACACACATGTGCGACACACAGAAAAAAAGACAAACGCAGCCAGAGACACAATAGACATTCTTTCCATGCCCCATTTTGACAATGAGGCAGGTCCTAAAAATCCAGGCTCTTCTCTCTTCTCTTATTTTAGCCGCCAGCTGTGTTGCACTTTTGCACGCCGCTTTCTGTGCTATAAAAAAATAAAAGGCTGTCTACTGTGCAACCCCAACCTTACCATTTACGTATACATACGTGTATATATACTCTGAATCTTTATTTTGCAGTGTGTTTGCCTAGACATTGCATTTTTACCTCCCATATACCGATTCACGCGCTGTTGCACAGAGCAAAGTCGGCGTTTCCTGCCTCACAAGGAGCAAACCTTTTGTTGGGGCGGGCCTCGATTGCTGTGCTACGTTTCGCTGGCTTCTAGAGTTTTGCACCATTTTGCCATGTGGGTAGAGGCGGCGCGTCAAGTAAATAGAAAAATGTTGCACGTGGCTCGGAAATTTAAATAAATCAGAGCAGGATCGTGTGCAGACAAAGGCGGGGCACGCAGAGCTAGAACCAAGAAAAACTTGAAAGAGATTCAAGCAAACATTTTGGTGCAGTTTTTAAAGCAGCAACAACCAGACGAAGCCACAACAGAGGCGATAGCTAAAGCGACTCCTTAAATCCTGTTAACGAGACAGCAACAGCAGCACAAACACAAATACAGATGTAGACAGACACACACATATAACACATAAACACATACATATGCAGGCGAGAGAAGCAAACGCACATCCCATCACATCCGTCACAGCGCAGACACAAACCCACCGCAGGCGTTAACTAGCGTGGACACAAACACGCAGCAAAGAGCCAGGAACTAGAGCTTCGGTCTTCGAATACCCTGCATATCCCTGCAGATTTTGTGTCTGTCCGGGAATGGCTCTATTCTCTTCAGAGTCATAAATACCCTTCTCTGCTGGGTACAATAACAACGGGAATAGTTTAAGCTGTAGCTGCAGTTGCAGCTGTGGCGAGAGATGATAGGTGGAGGAGGTCTAAAAACTGAAGAGTTTATAAAATTAACATCGTCATGACATTCAAGCAGACGTCGGCACCGGCACCGGCACCGGCACCGGCACCGGCACTGGCACTGGCACTGCACACGGCGACGCTCTCTTCCTCTCCCCGTCTTTTACCAGGAGTCCTGGCAGAATCCTTTGAGCACGTTGTTGCTGTTGTCGCTTTGCATTTGCATGGGAGTTGGTCTGATTTGTGTGTATGTCCCGTGTCGTGTTGGCATTTGTCGTTACAAACTTAATTAATGTTATGCTGAGGAGGGCCAACCTCCACACCCCATTCTGGGTGGGAGCTCTTGACTTTTGCCAAGCCAGGCAAAAATGTGCAGCCATGATGAGGCCACTGCCAACTGCAGCTCTAAGGACACGCTGTCAGTTTCAGCTGACGTTTGGTGTTCAGTTTCCCCCTTGTGAGTGGGTGGGACCGAGTATTATGAGCCAGAGAAGCGATTAATCGGTGGTACAACCACAATTGATGTATCATTTTACATCGTTTTCAATCGTTATTTAGGGATTGCATCCAAAATCCATCGCCAGGCAACGTCGTGGCAGTCCTTTGGAAACCCTCTTTAGCTTATGACAACTTTACTTCCTACGCAAAGTTCACTCTGGAGCCGGAAGGAAGAGCCTCTTTGGGCTGCAATTTCGTTAATGCTCAGGCAGCTTGCCCGATTTTCAGTTTACAGTTTACAGTTTACGGTTATTGTTGACAGGACTCTCAGGGAAGAGCCAGCCTGCCAGCCAAACTGCCTTGATTGTTTACCCGTGCCGGTGCTCGTGCTTCACTCCTATCCACTTGTTTGCTATTTGACTTAATTTAATGAAAATGTTGCAACCTGCAATTTACAAAACTAACGCCAACAAAACTTGAGATTGTTTACCCGGAGAGTCCCTAGTTCTTTGCCTCCAGATGATGCTGATGCTGATGCTGCTTCTGCCACTAGAACGTCTTCGGCTGTTTCTTCGACTGGGCTTTTGGGATGCGGGTTCTCAGTTCTAAGTACACATCCCATCTAGAATGCTGCTGCTTCTTCCATCTTTTGCTGGCTGGATGAAGAGAAGTCAAACAAACGAATGCAAAAGGTTTTTTAACTGCCTCAAGTATTCGTCGAAAAATGTGCTAAAGTGGCAAAAGACCAAGACGAAGGCGGCCCTTAATTATGCTGATTGCATTGCAGGAATATATTTTATACTCTTATGTCATAAACACATAACAAGTCAATCGCCAATCGTAAAAGCTGATCATTCATTCCCTTCCTCTTTCAGGTCTCTCTGCTGGTGGTCGTTGCGCTGCTTTATTGAAGCATCGGGCTCTCATCCCCCTCCCACATATATGCGTCACTAATTTGCAATGATGAGTTATCAGAAGGGTAAGTTACCTGCAAGTTCCTTTGCAGCCTGCCCAGGACACATGCCAAATGGCTGACCATTTGATACGGACCAGTCGTGTAGAAGCTTCTAGTCACCCACAAATCATGGGGAAATGTAAAGCCGTGCGACCTGGCCTTCAGCTCAATCCATTTATATACATGTCGGGCACACTTGGCACTCCATACTCGATATCCGGTAATTCTTTATGGGATTGGCCCCCAAGCCAAATCACTGCCACAATACAATTTACAGTAAATCAAGCAGAAAGCGAATTTACGCGGGTCATTCTCAAACAATTTGCAAGAGCTACCCTACGGACCACGGACTAACGTCAACAAAAGATAAAAGTGCGTTCAAGCATTGAAAAAGAGCCGAAACAGACCGAAATACAGATACAGACAGTCGCCGGGAAAAGTTGCACTAACAAGCTGAGGAAACATTTAGAGGCTTCACGGGTGTGGGTGATAGAATCGAACAAAGGAAAATGCTGCATACTTTTTGGGGGTTGGCCAGTCTGCCGCCTAATGAGCTTCCATGAATCGGCATGAATTGGCGGCACCATAGAGCGAGCCATCACTGCAGTAGGGGCTGGGAGGGTATGCGGGATATGGGACATGAAGCCCTGCCAACTAGTTTCAAAATTAATTGCCACGGGTTTTTGTGTGTTGTGTTGGCCGGGCTAAAAACGCGGATAGTGGCTTAGGCTAGGCGTTGACAACAGCCGCACAATGTTGTTTTGCCGTTGTCCTCATTCGCATCCTCAACGATGCCGTCGATGACAGCGGCTGCTGCTGCTGCGCCGTTCAATTAACTTGTGCGACAATCCAATCAAAAGTGTATTAAAGGCCCGTTAACGGCCATTTGCCCGATCCAGGAAGCAGCCACGAGGCCATTTTCCAGAGTCCGTTGCTGTCGATAACAGCAATTACATAAATGTTTTTGTAGTCTGGCGAAAGGAGGAATGCACCCACAGCCTACAGAGCCCCACAATCGGCTAACCAAATGCGATTTAATGGGCTCCGTCGAAACAGCTGCAGTTCAATGTGGGCGGGAAAGGGGGTGTAGTGATATTTTTCCAATCGAAATATTCGCTGTAAAGGACTTGGCAATTAAGGCATAAATTCACATTATCACGCATACGACATCTCGTACAGAACTCTGTGGAATAGAGAGGGGGATGTGGATGTGGACAAAAAACTGCCAACAGAAATTGTTGGCAGACATTAAATTTCAGGAAGTGTACCAAATATTAATATCTGCTTAAGAATTATATCAGCTTAATGTGGCACACAAAAGGTGTAAAACTGTGACCGATTTATGTGTCTAATAATGTGAAATGCAAAAAATTACAGCCGAAGGTTAATACTGAATGTTTTCTCCCTGCACGTGGGGCCCAATATCCATTTTCAGGCAACATTGCATAGTCCTAGTCTAATTTATTTATCTACTTGTAATATTTAATAAAAATGCTTCAATTGGTCCTGGAGACACAGACACAGACATACACATACTTACGCATGGATGAGCGCAGGTCCTTCGCTTCGATTCGGGCAATCAAAATTGTTATTTACATGATTGTTCGATGTGCCTCCTCCTATGTGGAGCCCGAAGGCCACGCCTCCGTATTTCGGGGGGAACACGTGCTTGGCTGGCAGCCCCTTCACACGAACTACATAAATAAGGAAAGCCCATCCCACATCCCCCCGTCTGAGAGACTGGTAAAACTTTTCCAATTTTCCCCTTTTTATCGTAAATTACGCACAATTCAATATTTGGCCTTTTTACTGGTGGCGGGGCCCCGTTTCTTGTATTTTGTCTCTGCCGCAGTCTGCCTTTTTTCTGCCTGACTGGCTCTACGGAAGAGTAGGATTAGATGGATGGTGGGGGGGTTGGGAAAGACAGTTTCTTTTCTTTGTTTTTGCTATTTTGCTATTTTTTGTGTGTCTCTTTATCGTAAATAAGAAATCTCATACGTGACTAGGCCTCACAACGGAGTTCGCTCTCCTCCTAGACCACACCACTCATTTGCTTTATGAATGGAGTAAAAGTTAGTTTCACTTTTTTTCCCTTCCTAATCGAAATTGGTTTCTTCGGCTCACAAGTGTAATGATTGTTTTTCTATGCGTGTGGTAATTTATTTAGCATTATTTATACTCGCAAGAGATGGGATTAAATGACCAAGGAAAGTTTTCCGCAAAACTATTGTGCTCTGCGAAAGTTGTGCATGAGTCCAGTGAGGTCAAGAGGTAACTGAAAAGTGGAGAATGGAACAAAGGGAATGTAGTCAAAGAAAGGAAATTGATTTGAAAATGGATCTTCAATTGATCTAAGCTGAAGGACTGTGAGATTGTCATGGCTGCTGCATACAAAATCAGTGCATGACAACGACCTCAGCACAAGTTCCTGCGACTGGGGGCCACACAAACAAATGCACAGACAGCCCGAGAGTGAGGTCTGTGCGCCCAACTGTATGCAACGGCCTTTGTGTCAAAATTTTTATGCCGTGCATGGCACGCAAACGTGTGCACAAAAAAAGAAGACGAAATATGAGCAGACGAAGGGAAAGGGAGAGTCTAGAGTAGACCCGAAACAACGCAGCGGGGAGCAGGGGCTGTGGGGGGTAGTAAATTGAAAGACACAGAAAGAGGCCATAGAGAGGCGGCACAGTACTGCTACTCGTACTAGACGGACCAAACTGATTCAATTAAATCAGTCCAATTGAAGCAACTGACGAAATGTGTGGACTGAAACGATGTGCGTGTGTGCATGGAATACTTAAGCTGCAGACAGGTCGCAGTGCCACATTTACTGCAGTCTGTTGTCACCAGTATCCTGTTTAAATTTCAGCTTAAAGTCCCAGACTGCTGTAGGACTCTGGAAGGGTCGAAACTTCATCATTATCAGTGGGGCTGGAGCCTGGCCCAACTCTTTACGGCCAAATGTTGCCCTGCTTGGAAGGGCAAAAAGTTGTCGCAACGAATTTTATTCAAATAAGTGAACATTTTGTTTGTGCCACACTTGCGCGCACACAATTTTTTAATGTCTCGACGGTTTTTGCCACATGTTCGCATCGAATCGGAGTGGAATCAGCGAACCGACCAACAACACCAGCAGCAGCAGTGACGGCAGGAGTAGCAATTGGACCTGCTCCCTGCCCGGATCCTGTGACTTTTGTCGCGTATCGCATTAATTTCTCAATTTATAGCAATTTATAAAAATATGAAAAACGTTCAAGCGGGTGGAAAAATGTGTATGCGATTGTGGGCTGTCCGGAAATACAATTTAAATGTACCTTTTTTGCTTTTTCTGTAGTTGCTAACGAAGCCAATGGTCGATGCGGCTGCTCCCGGGGGAATGCATCGGTTCTCTACCAGTTTAAATGGGGATTCAACTTTAATATAGATTCCCATTCAAATTACCATTCCTTTTCACATTTTTGAAAATTATTCAGCCCTGTGCGGCCCACTGTGCCGCCGCCTGCCACAGGAAGAGGGAAAACTTTTTGGCACCCAAGCATTTTGCTCTGTGTGAAAATCACTCAAAATTGTGTTTAACTAAGCGTAAAAATTATAAGCAAATTAATTTGCACAAATCACAGCAACAACAGGAGCAGGCGGCAACAACAATAGTTGCTTGCCTTGCTGCAGAAAAGTTTTATGAAACAATCAGGCAAAGGCAGTTCTCTCCGACACTCTGGTTAGGTCTGGCCTCGGATCCGGTCCGGCACCATCTCCATATCTCCTGTTCCCCTCCTAGGCTCTTGGCCTGGCCCAAAACAACTGACGCGACAGCAAAGGCAACCAAACGAAACGTTCAGGAGGTTTCAGGGGGAACGGTTCTGGTTCCTGGTTCCTGGCTCTGTGACTGAGTTTGGGTTTGGTTGGTTGTCGGGGGCGAGAATATAACCGACAATTTATCTGCATAAAAGCGCAGTGTGCAACTTTGACGTGGATGTCTGTCCTGATGGGGATTGATGGGTGTGGGCTCGGAAAAACTTTGCTGCCTCTCTCTCACCCTCTTCCTCAATCCCTCTCTCTCTCTCTGTATCTCTCTCTGGGGGGAAATTTAATGCCAGCCGAGATAAAGATTCAAATTAAAGACTCACCGATCAGCAGTGACAGGGTGGCATTTATAGGAAATAAATATTTCAATCAATTTCATTCTACTCAATTATTTTATTAAGCTAATTAAGTCTCCAAGTTGCCAACCACTCCCATATTTCAACCTCTTCCCATTAGACAGGCACAATTAAAACTTAGAAACAACACAAACGAAACAACACCCTCTGTAGTTCACGAAACAAATGCTCAAGCTGAGATGTCGACCGAAAGATACCACTCACTTGGATTTGCTTTACATTTTAGTTTACCAGCATTCTATGCTGTGTCATGCAAAACCATTTGTTAAAATGTAATCTATAAAACATAGGGGCTTTCTCACTGTGTGTTCACATCCCGAAAATAAATTTCCCCGGAACTCGGTATCGTGTCTTAACTTAACGGAACTTAATTTTGTTTGCACATAAGTCATTAAACAAAAACATTTAGGAAGCAAAGAGTGGACGACCATCACTAGTTACTTTATAAATGAATTATGTAATTTCCGAATTTTATAAAATTTATTTCTTTTATATCGGGTTTTCCGCTACACACATTCTCTTTCTCTCTCTCTATCTCTCTCTTGACACCAACACCCTTTTGTCCTTTTGGACAACAGCTTTAACATACACAAGTACAAACCCGTTTTAAAATTCAATATACCTCTCTGTTTGGCGTTTACTGGGTATAATCATTGCCGTCACTAATTTGCATACAACAATAGGCGCTGACTGCGAGAGATGTCGTCTCGAAAAGGGTCTCTCATCTCACCCGGTCAGCCTAAGGGGGTCGTGAAGGGCCAGACTGAGTAGAGGTAGAGAATCTTTTAGCAATTTTTAATTGCCATCCAAAGGGAAGTTTCCAAAGAAAACTTCCAGGATTTTCCAAGTCAATTGTTGGTT